CATGGGCAAAAGATAGGTTAAATAGCGTTTTGAGTAGTTTTAGTTCTTCTCGGTGAGAGAGTGACTGGAAACGCCTCAACTAGTTTTATTCATTTTTTTCGTCAAAGTTTTTCAAGGAGCGACTGCGTTAACTAAGAGCACCGCTGAATATGATGCAACTTGCTGCCTACGTACTTCAATTATTTTTTTGAGGAGTGTTTTGGGATGGGTGGGCAGATGTCGTGTGTTTATCATTATCATTACCTGCCAAAACTAAGTTGGATATGGGGTCAACTAGAAAACCTTACCGAAAGCACTAGTTTAATTCACCAATAAATTGTGGTAATTTTCATGAATGAAGTTTTATTACCGGAGCTCAATAAATGAAGGAGACACGTTTACGATTTAGCAAAATGGGTGAAAGGAGCGGTTACATTTAACGGAAAGTCTCTTTCTTAAGAATTCCAGTGCAGGTACAGATTACTAGAAGCTTTCTTCGTTATGTTTCTTTGTTTCGGTTTTTAATTATTCACTTTTGCCAAATAATTATTGCATCCTTTCCAGCAAATTTTAGTGCGCTTTTTTGTTGTTGTTGTTGTTAATACATCGTTGTTCAGTTCAAGGAATGTGATGACGAACCATATAGCAATTTGCAATGAAAGCACCTTATCACTTTTAGCCATCAAGTTAACCGGGTTAGTCTTTGAAAACTCGGGTAAAAAATTCTTCAGTACGTAACCTAGTTAAAACAATTAAATCAGGTTAATTTATTATTACCGGCCGGACTCAATTTAGACTTCCACAAAGTCATTCAATGTCGCGCGGTTTTTAAGCCTCGGACGTACAAATGCGCCGGGGGGTGGGGATTGATGCCACCCCCTTAAGGTTGTTCTGAGTTTTTTCCGATCCTAGAGGATATGCGGTATGCTAATATGGCGAGACGTGCTAACATGGCGCTCCTAAATTTTGTCCTTATATCTCTGTTGTATTGGGGACTTAAGTGGAATTTTCTCTTGGAATGGTCAAGTAAAACTTCTATCGACGGCGGGTGTGTTTTTTCTACGACGAATCTCACCGGTTCGAGCTGCTTTTTGAGAAAATTCTCAACTCAGCCGTACACTGGATCGCGAGCGAATGGTGCGACTACAACTGAGTTTAAACTTCCAAGAAGAGGCAAGTACTTCAAGTCCAAAACATCCCATTACCCTAATTCGGCCTTCACTTTTTCAATTCAACGACTTCTGCTTTCTGGCGACATTGAACTTAATCCAGGGATACCAACGAATAATTGTAATAAATCAAGCAGACCACGAGGACGACGCGAAACTACTGATAACATTAAGATCGCACATTTGAATATTCGTTCGCTTAAGAACCGGGAACATCTTATTCTGGCCAAGGAAACTGTCATTTCTAACAAAATCGACATTTTACAATCTCTGAGTCATGGCTTGATAGCTCTGTTTCCGACGCTGAAGTTGAATTTCCTGGGTACATCTTACATCGACTCGACCGCGTAAACAAACATGGAGGAGGTGTCTGCGCCTTTGTTAGGCAAGAATATCGGGCTGAACGGTTATCTGACATTTCCTACATTTCTGAGTCTGGCTTGCATCAGCTTTGGCTAAAAATTCAAGTACGTAATTTCAAATCGTTTCTAGTCCGCACGGCTTACAGACCACCTAACACACACTTGGATTGCTTTGATTCCGACTTTAGCAACACATTAGTTTCAGCACTGTCGATGAACTTGCCCGTTTACATCTTGGGTGATCTTAACTGTAATTTATTGTCTTTGCAAGACCCACCGGCACAAACCCTCGTGAGTTTTTGCTCTTCCTTCAATCTATCGCAAGTTATCAGTCACCCAACGAGGATTACAGAGTCCACGAAATCACTGATTGATGTCGCCTTGGTCTCAAATGCTAATTTAGTGAAGGAAGCAAAAGTTTCTTCTTCCTCAATAAGCGACCATGAACTAATACTTGTTGTTTTGAACATGAAAAAGAGCCGTCCCAAACCGACATACATTCTAACTAGGAGCTACAAGAACTATAAACCGGAAGTATTTGCCCGTGACCTTTCAGAGGTCCCCTGGCATATAATCGAAACGTTTAAGGATGTTGACGACTGCCTCTATGCCTTTCACCAGCTTTTTGAGCAAATCTTAGATCGACAC